AAGAAGTCTGGTTTGAACCGTTTTAGCTTTCTCGACTCCGGGGGCCCTTTGGGTGTCCAAGCACTTCGACCCGGGTCCTACCGTTTTTCTCCAACGTCCCAAATTTGCTTGTCCATTCCGTCCCAAATCCCCCCAAGCAAGAAGCAAGCAGAGATTTATGTATCCAATGCGAGTAAGACAATTGCTCTAAGTAGCCGAACCAAGTGTCTGGGAGCCCTTTTCGTTGGGTGCTGTGCGTCTTTTTTTCCTTCCCCCGTTTTGAGGTGGGCGGCCTGCCGAAGAGCGCTTGGCCGCAGGTGCTGAGGCAGGGAATAGCTTGGGCCGTTGGGATGTGGGCGGAGATGGCGGCGGAAAACTTGCTGGTGCGAAATCGGCAGGGAATGAGAAATGGAATGACCCACATAGAAACCATGCAGCTGGTGGTTTCCTTTTAGAAGGAAATTTCGAGGTTTATTCCCACATTCCCTACCTATCGCACCAGCAAGGAGAAGCAACCTCGATTTGCACCAAGTTTGGGCCATGGCCCTTTTGGAAGGAGTCCGTTTGGGTTTCAGGAGGTGTTTGAACTTACTTTCCACTCTTGGTTTCAAAGGGAAGCTATCGCTACTGGACGTATTTTCTCTCCTTTTTTTCCTGGGGGGGCGAAAAAGCAATTGGAAGGCAAGGGGGTGTTGCTTATTCTTTCCTTTTTTTCTCCCGGAACATTTCTCAACAGGGAAAGTGGGTGCTTCCCCGAGAACCAACCCTAGAGCCCTAGAGAAAGTTGGGTTGGAGCCAGAAGGTTGATGGTGTCACGGTGTCAGGGCTGGAAAGGGATGTTTAACAAAAAGGTTGAGAGGTCGGTTCTTCGCCTTGTTCTCTGCCCAAGGCGAGTTGACCGGATCTGATCTGACTTGATTTTTCCAATGTTGGTCTACTTTTAGTCGAGGTTCCAAAAAGCGCAAGCCTTGTATTTCCAGGTCCCAGAAGGGCAAGCCTTAAAACTCTGGCCGGCTTCAGGGACAAGTCAGCATCGGCTGCATGTCATGGGAGCGGAGCCGGATCTTGAAACTGAAATATTGTCCCCTCCATCCACGCCACATTCTCAACCCCCACACCCCCCCATGCCCCGCCCCATCAGCTGGCAAGAACTTGCCCCAGCTCCTTCAACGCCTCCACCGGTCCAAAGTCAGGGGTCAGCCGGTCATCCGAAGTTCCCGACCGGCCTGGGAAAGCTCGTGGGATATGTCTTGTTCCGATCGCCTTGCCTTACACGATTTCACTGATTTCGCTCGCGACAAGGTCTATGCTCCCTGTTCCGGAATCCTGAAAACCTCAAAATGAGAAATGGGAGCCGCGCAACGCCAAGAGGTATGAAAGGCCGTAAGTTTCGTCCGGTCGCTTGCTCAGGGGCGAGTCCGAAGACCCGGCTCGGGAATGGCGCGGCGCCCGGAGGGATGGGGCGGTTTTTAGTGTTTCGAGTTCCTGGCAATTGTTTTCTCTACAAGCAGAAGGGAGAAAACCCAACCTCCCGGGAGGTACCATGCTCTCCCCAAAAAGGGGGGGGGTAGGCACCTTTCTGTTCTTGACCTTCCTCCACCAATGTGGCAACGTAGCACCTATGAGAACGTACATGGAAGATCAAAAGGGCGGGGTCCAACAGGTTGGTGACAAATGGGTGCAGAGCTGAAGGTCGCAGGTCATCTTTTGGGGCTTTTGGAAGAGAAGATTCACGGAAAGGGCCGCCGAACTGGGCAACTCGGGGAACTCGGGGAACTCGGGGAGCTCAATCAAACTCCCCTGCGAGGTTTGGCCAAGAATTGTAGAGTCCATTTCCTTTGGGAGAGACATCACCACACAAATCACCGGAGCATTTTTTTGCTCATCCCCATCCTCTTAGAAAAAAACATTCCTGTCGCATGTGTGCGGAAAAAGCTCACTGAAGGTCCTCCATCTCGTTTGCTCGGAGTTCTAATCAATCTTTCAGTGTGGGAACCTGTAAGCAACCCGTCCCCAGAAAAATGCTGCTGGGAAACCCGTTTCTGCCACCTGTGCCCAGACTCCAAAGGAAACTGCGGTGGTTGGACCCGGGCACGGGGTCCACTGCAACACAAGACCTACCCGCAGTCAGGATCACGGTGGGCTACCCCACCCTGGCGCACCGGGGCCAGGGCCGCTTTGCCTATGAGGCCGGGCTCCTGGGTTGGTTTTCTTGGCACGTTTCAACATCTTGGCACGTGGCCGGACTTGGCAAAAAAACACCTCTCCAGACTTGCTTTTTTTTTTGTGTGTGTGTGTTCCGGATGTTTTTTTCCATTCAAAGGTTGACGACTTTTTGCTTGGTCTGGTCAGGAAATGGCGGTTTCTGTTTGGGTGATGATAATGCAACTTTAGAGCAGTCTGTTGGATCTTCAGGTGCTAGACTCTGAAGGTTCTACTTTTGGCGTACGCCTGCGATTTGCAAAAGGGAACCAAATTACAAACTAGCCATTTTGGGGGTTGCCCAAGTTAAAGGCACCCGCTCATTTTGGTTGGCTTTGGACTAAGCCTTGCGCAAAAACTTGCGCGCAGAACAAGCGGAGACCTTTTGCAGAGAAACTTGCAGAGAAACTTGCAGAGAAAGTCTTGCAACCCCGACGCGAACATTTGCAGCACCTCTCTCACAAGAGGGCGTACATAAACACGTGTACGGTAGAGAACATACACGTGAACACACAAATGCCTTGACGCGGGTGCGAACACAAGACCGCATTTGACGTCGCGCCCTGCTTGCTGAGTGCTATGCGGCGATTTGATCTTCTACAGTAGTTGTTAAACATATAAACTAGATTGAATCAACTGGTTTGAGGTGAATTTGATGTTCTTACATGTCCTTAGACTTTTTGTTTCTTGGAGCCTACAGGAGTTGGAATGCCTTTTGCCGGGTGAGCATGTGTGTTTCAGCTGGAGTTTTCGGGCCTTTGCAGGCATGTTCTTTCCAGGCCGCCCGAATGTGGCACCGGTGTGGTCATGTTGGGCCAAGGTTCTTTGGAGGATGCCCGAATTCCAGACTATGTATTCTTTCGTCCGAGCCGCAACCGCTTTGGATCCCTTTTTGGGCCAGGCCCGGGGGCGAGTTTCCAGCCACAAGCCTGGCACCGTTCCCAAGTCGCTGGTGGCAAGACTTGGTGCCAAAGGATGGAGAAACCCAGCCATTCTTTTCAACGCTTCGCCCCGCAAAAACCCACATTTTAGGAGTCTTGGGTTTCCATGGACGCAACTCTGGCAGGTGGAGCTCTATGGCGATCTTTGCTGCCCTCAGGCTCACTGGGACTGTTGGATTTCGAAACAAGTTGAGTTCTTCACCTTGTGGCCTCCCTCCCAAACAACAAGAAAAACATGGGTTTGATGGAGTTGATCTTCATCACTTTTTCCCGTTTGTTTCATGGGAGTTCTTCCTCATTTGAGTGCAACGGCCCGCCAAAACTGATGTGGGTACCCATGTGTTGTCTTTGGCACCAAAGCCCGGATCAGTTCGGTACCCAAAGGCGAACCGCCGCTTGTGAGGAGGTCCTTGGGACCAATCCGAAGTTGACTTCACCACTAGAGAAATGAGATGGGGATGAGTGTGAGACGAACATGCCTGATGCCTGCGTGGGCGAGATACAGGGTTTTCCTAAAGTGAGGGTTGCTTAGCCAAAAGGGGGATGTGTGTTGTTTCATGTTCCATACTCCCATATTTAGCGCCCATGCAGGTAGTTTGCATGTTTTGTTGTTCAGCTGTTGTGTTCCGGAGGACATGAACAGTGCACATCCTTTGGGCGGGACCTTGAGCGTCTCTTTAAACGAAGTCCGCAAGTGGTCCCCGGTTTGAGGGTACTTCTTCGTGTTCTGGGTTACCGTTTTGCCGGGGGAACCTATAGTGGCTGCTGCCGGGCTTTTCACCGCCCGCCCACGTGGATCGTGAGGAGGCTTGAAGAATAGAGGGCTAAATCCACCTCAAAACAAAGCCCAAGTGGCATATGGCCGTGAATTTTAATAAGGAACTCCCTCAAAACTGGTTGGTGGCCACGAATCCCCACCTAAATCACAGTCTAGTAGGAGCATGGAAAATCTGTGAGGTGGGCCTTCTGTCCGAGCACTTCGCCGTTTCCCTCGGCAAGAGGTGCCCCACAGGAGGGGCCTTCCGGAGCAAAGTCGGGGGCAACCGTCCAGGGCCTTTCGGGTTTCGGGTCGCATTCGGACAGATGTCTGGTTCCTTTTGGTTTTCATCTCGTCCAAGATGAGGTAGGTATTCTATGTGGCGCTTGGGGCGTGAGAGTTCATCAAACATACTCATGTTGGGGGCAATGCTGAGGTAGATGACTCAGGTGGGGGGGGCCCTGCAAACTCAGGTGCTTCCGATTTTTATAAAGAGGCCAAGGGACCTCAATTTGAGAATTCGAGCGGGACAGGGTCGAAAGACCAGATCTGGGAAAGCACTTGAGCAACGGTCGATCCTTACAGCCATGTACTGGTACTGTAGCAAAGAGGATGACATTGGGTACCCTCACCAAATTGCCATGAGGAAATGACGGTTACTGAATATGGGCGATGAAATCTAACAGGGTCCGGGATCCATGGACATTCGCACCCAAATGCCATTGGGGAGCACAAGAAACATGAAAAATGAGGCGATGAATTTTTGCTCGAAGACCCACCCCCCCCAGCTTCTCCCAAGAGAGTCGCGGACAGGATTTGGACAAGCTGGCTGCTACCTAAACCCTCAGAGTTTTGCACAAGCCCCACGTCTTCGCCGCATGGGTGAGGGAAGGGATGGTCCACCGAGACATACCTGGCGGAGCCCACAACCCTTGGTGTAGGTTCCATGCAGTTGTAGACCCTGTATTTTGATGTCTGGTGCTTTCCCCTGCTGGGGCCTACAACAAGAGGCATGACACCAGCCCCCCGTTTGTTTTTTCTGTGGAATGTTCCCACTGATGATTTGTGGGGGCTTCTCATGTGTTAATTTAAAGGCTGACGTGTATTGATTCTTGTACATCAGTTGCTTCATTCGATTCCAGCCCAGAAAACGCCCGCCAGCCACCCTCAGCTCGGCTACGCGAGTATTTCGCCTCCGCGGCCCGCCTTTCGACCTGGTGAGGGGTGGGGGACGACGAGCACGGCTGGGCGCTGGACGGGCTGCACGGGGAGACCTGGGCCGGGGGCCAAAGCAGCTGCTGGCAGGCGCGCGGCGAAGGAACTCGCAGGTGCTCGGTGGAAGGTTATAGAGGCTTCTGGTTCCTATGGAAGCAAGGGAAAGCCCCCCTTAGCATAAATAGGTGCGGATATCCCGTTTAAAAGTGTTCGGCATGTTCTCGGGCAGACCCTGGAAGTAATTGCCAGGTTCTGATTGTGACCCTTGGACACGGATCGATGTGGGGATCGATTTGGGACGGGTGACGAAGAGGGGCAAGTTTTTTCCGAAAGCATTGCGAAGGGCTCCGGAAAAAATCGCCAGCGAACTCACACGAGCACACTTGCACCGGCACACTCGCACGAGCACGCTTGCACGAGCGCAGTCGCACGAGCACACTCTCACGGTGCGCTTGCACGATCGCGCTCGCACCATCGCACTCGCACGAGCACAAGCGCACTTGCACGCTTCCACGAGCGCACTTGCATAAGCGCCTTGCGCGAGCAGAGTTAGCATGAGCGCACTTACGCGAGCACACTTGCACGAGCACAAACTCGCGCCCGTGCATTTTCGTGAAAAGTCTTGCACGATAGAAGTACGTTATCTTTTATTGCGGCGCGGTGGGACCGAACCCACTCTGCAAAGAATTGTTTTCTCGTTCACGTGCTCTGTGCCGGTGCTCTGCGCAAGTTGCTCTTTGCAAGTTAATGCCGCATCACCTTGACAACTTCTGAACACTCATCCGCAAGCAAAAAAAAGCAGCAACAGTCCCCAGTTTTTGCGCATCGGCGACGCCGATCCCCGCAAAAGGTCGCTCGGGCAAGTCAGAGAGAAGTATTACTTGCGCAGAGCACTCGAGCGGGGACTTCCTGTCCCTTGCATGTCCTTGCATTTCCTTTCTTTCCCCGGCCTTCATCACTCCCACTTCCCAAAATTGTCAAAACACAGTAGTTGTCAACGTTTTCGCAAAAAGGATGTCACAGAACACCGAGTTTTTGCAGATTCGAGCCTGGGACCCCTGCTTTGCCATACCGGCTCCCCGAAGACCTTTTAGCAGACCGGCATCAAATTGCCACTCGGTACTTGGGGACCCTACTACTACGTAGCAGACGTCCCGACAGGGAGCGGGGGTTGACCTCTATCCTCTCTTAGGTGTCCGACGCGCCGAGCAATTGCGCAGAGCATCTTGCGCAGAGCAATTTGCAAACTTGCACAGCGCCCCGAAGTAGCAGCAAGGCTACGCCGCTACCCTCCGGAATGAGCTTGAGAAGGGGGAGCAGAGGGGTCGGCAGATTCTTGCATGATCTTGCGCAAGTGTGTCCGCGCGAGTGTGCACGCGCAAGGCGCTTTTGCAAGCTTGGTTTTCAAGCGTGCGAGTTGGACGAGTTGAAAGTTGCTCTGCGCAAGTGCTCGTGCTCTGCGCAAGTACTCTGCGCAAGTACTCTGCGCAAATGCTCTGCGCAAATGCTCTGCGCAGGTTGCTCTGTGCAAGTTGTTCTGCTCAAGTCCTCTGTGCAAGTTGCTCTGCGCAGGTACGCAATGTTTGTTTGAACGGACGAACATCAAGATCTACAGGTCATGACAGAATTTGCACCAGATCTGCACCAGAATCTGAGCACATACCAGGCTAAAGGGCAGTTAAGTCGAAAACCAACCTGCTCGGGGTAGTCCCCAAAGTTATAGACAAACTCAAATGCCGGTCTGGGTTCCTATTCGGTTGCCAGGGCGCCCGTCTCGCAGAGTCGAATGGCCGGGAACCCGGGCTGAGCCGTTTCAGCAGCGCCGGCGATTGCTGCAAACCAGTGTGATGGCCAAATCACAGCCTCCCGGTGATGCTAAACCAAAGAGGTGTTAAACATCCCTTGGTTTGGACCCGCCGTTGAACAGAGCCTCGATCAGAAGAGCACCCTTTGGTTTCGGTTTTTACTATCTTCAGCTATCTTAGGGTAGACTGCAGAACAACATCCGGAAAGAGCCAAGATGTACCGCTAGGTTTTGGTGGGCAGAGAAAATTGGAATCAACGATGTGCCCCATCCAGCTGCAAAAAAGACATTAAGAACAACCATCCTATTTGACCAAAGCCTGAGATCCGGTTGCAGGAGGAAACCAAACATTTGTGGATATGGGTGCTTGTGAAAATTGGACTCTGCAGGGGTGTCCAGGCTCAAAACAAACAGGCCCGTTTGGTGCTTAGGTGGCAAACAGATCGTGGGAGTGGCCGTGGACCTCGCTGAAGGCAAGATGTGGCCTCTTGGCGTTCAGCCGAGATGTTGGGTGAAAGGTTTCAGATTTGTTCTTTTTGGCATCGTGTCTTGTCCTCTTTCGAACGGTTCCTGATCAGAGGCCTTGAAGAAGAACAGTCCTTATGCAACTGGTTTTTCGGAGGGTAATGCACAGGATCAATGGCCTCCGGTCCGCTTCCGCGTAAAGCGACCGTTTCAACCGGCTCGAAGGGGGCGACAAACCTCATGGCGGAGAAATCGTTTTCAAGGATATCTAGTGGTTGTTGGGGTTCAATGGATCCCACCTCCTCCTCCTAGCTGGAGGTTTTCCGAGCATAGACGTTCCTTTGTTCATTGAGAAATCAAAGACCCTTTTCGGTAATTTCGGTAGACGTGTTGGCTACTCGTCCAGGGATATCTATTTATCGAAAAGAACTGTGGATGGACGAAATCAACCACCTACCAACTGGTGCAGCATTTTGTCCCACAGTATGTTTCCAACATGCTCCAACCGTTTGCTCGTAATGTTTGGTCTTTTTTGGGGGTGCGAGAGGGGGTCATGAGCTTCCGTTTTGCGGCAAGGAGACATCAAAACCAGACAAAGTGTTACGAGCCCTATGCAGACCCTACAAGAGGCGCTATGCAGAACCGACCCCTCATTGTTTTCTCCCAAAAACGCGTTGACCCCTAACAGATCGCCTGGCGCCTTCCGCCTTTCGGGTTTTCTTCATGTTCCTTGTCACTCAACAGCGAAGAACCTTCAGAGAAATCCCCTAACCTTCTCAACCGGGGCTTGGAAGTGCTTTTTGAGTGGTTCTTTTTGGAGTTGGTACCCCCGTTTTTTCGGCGGGTTGAAAGGGAACCTCAACATATCTCAACATATGGTCCTTTTAGGGACATGAGTTCCGGAACTCACTCATTTTCAAAAAGAGGCGCCAAGTCACATGTTTTCATGTCATCTCTCACACTGCCAAGGATTTGACCCCTCTTTGCGATGAAATGGTCATGGGCAATGGGATTCCCACCTCGGTATCGCCGAAGAACCTATGCAAGCATGGATCTCATCAAGGTTCCAGGTTTGGATTCCAGTTCTAGCTGTACTTCCCTTCTAGGGATTCTGATTTCAGAAATGGCACCGGAGACCGGGGCCGATTGAATATGTTTGCTTGAAGGGGCGGGTAAACATTGCCTTGTTGGGGCCACGCAAAGTGAGCTTCCTTTGGGTGGCCTGTATGGGGAAATCTTCGCGGCGGAGCCTTGAATAGGTCCCCCAGCTAGGTGCCCTTTCTCGCCCTTTTTTGGTTGGGAGGCCCTACTAAAGTAGATCGACTACAGAAAAAAGTTGGTAATCTGATTGTAACCTCTCTACTGGAGGACCTAGTTGAGAAACGCGGGTATTGTGGGAGGGGACAGCCAGGTCTAGATGTCTGAACAGAAAGGAGGCGAGCATACTTGAAACTGGCCGCCAGAAGTTTTGTTGTTTTTGCCCGCCGAAAAGTTGGAGACCAGATCCCCTTGAAGCCAAAGCCAAACATCAAAATCCATCCTCCCACGACCGCTGTGTCCCATTCCTAAAGAAGTCGTTCGGGGTGGTGGAAGCATGTGGGTGTGTTTCTGTTTACGGACCCCAAAATAGAGCTGCCCTCAAGAACAGCACACTCATGTGATGACGGAACGGCGTTTTTGTCGGATGCCCCCGGGTTTGCTTTCGCCGTCTCGTCTTCAAAATAGCGCATCATTTGCACCTGAGGTTCGGGGTGAATGGCCAATGGAGCCAGGAGGCTGCTGTCCTGCCGAAGCTCCCTGAAGCTCGGACTTGCGCGCGGCTTTTCGCTCAAGTGATCGGATGCACCTGGTGTCCTTCTTTGCGTTCATTCCTGAATGCCAGGCATGATTTCGTTCTGTGAGCTAACGGACACTTCAACTTGCTAGACAAACCCTGCAGAAATCGGCTGTGAGACTCTATTTACTTACTGGCCAGGCGAGTGTCTCGCTTGTTTAATCAGATTTCTTATCACACTGAAAGACCGTGGGTAGGGCTCTGGGCTGGTTCATTTCAAGCTGTCTCGAAGCAACAAATGGACTTCCTGGGCCAAAGGAACCCACGGCTCTCAGTTGGAGTTTCCCTGTGTTTTCGCAGAAAAGTTCTAGCCCCATGGAGCCTACAAGCAAAGGGGTCTTGGGTTTCCGTATGTTTCCGTCTTTTTGTTTTTTTCGGGCACCCTCCTTAGTGGAAGGAAAAGTCAAGACAAACAGACGTAAACCAAGGTGTTCTGGATTTCCAAAGTTGTGTTTGGATGCATGTGACCCAGGTGGAAGGGCTCGAGACTGAAGTTTGAACGGTGGTTGAGATGACAAAACATTTATACTGTTGAGCTTTCAGTTGTAGTCTACCTTCAGTGGCTAGAGCCAAAACAAAAGTTTAAGCTGCTAGAAGCCCTGGCACCTGAATCAGTTCGGACACTGGTGACACACCTCCGGTGGAGGAGTTTAACCAGGGTGCCACGGACCCGACAGGGTCTTTGGGGACGTCGGCTGTGAATGAGCACGGCGCTCGTGCCAGGCTAGAGGTATGCATAGGATTGTGGCTATGTGGGGTTTCGGGCGGAAGCCAAAAGCGCACCAAACGAAAACCAAATAGGAAGCAGAGAGTTTTGGTCCCGGGGCCTGAGGTCGATCGAGGAGCAGGTAGGCATTTTCTTTTTCTTTTTGTCGGCAATCTGGCTGGGGTTGGAAGCATGGCAGTTCCTTGACCCTTGTGCCTTGGTATTTCATGAGGTCCCGCACGTCCCCCCCACCCGTCGGCACATTATTTTCTAGGCACAGTTTCTTGTCGGCTTGATCTTTGGAGTTCCGGTCACTTTTTGGGGAAGCAAAGCCAGTAAAAGATAGGATATAGGCTGGTCCTTCCCTTTCCTTTTTCCTTCTTTCCTTTCCCTTCGTTCTACCAGTTCACTCGGTCAGGAGAAGGAAAGGGAAAGGTAAAAGAAAGAAAATGGAAAGAGATAGCGGCAGTAAGAGATAGGAAAGCCGCGAGTAGAAGAGCTAGGCTGTGGACAGGAGATTCGCTTCTCTCCCCTCTCTCACTTACCTGTTTGGGACGTAGGTCGCTTTCCTTTGTCGGCTCTTGGGTTAAACCGCGACAGCAGGTAAAAGGAAAGGACCAAGAGATGATAAAGAGAAAGAGAGCGAAGTGAAGGGAAGGTACAGGAATGATACAGTGGTGAAAGGATGGTGTCCTAACTCTCTCCCGGATACGAAGTGGTAACTGAAAAGTTCAGCTTTGTGTTTGGCCCGTCCACTCAGCAAGCTTTCACAACAGTCCAACTTTTTCAGGGATGGACTATGGATGCATGACCGGGTTTTCAGGTCCCAAGTTGCCATTCCTAAGAATCAGTTGAACCCTGCGTCTTCAGAGGTACGCTATGGGCTCGACCCTGCGTTTTAACCAATGAGGTTGAAACCAGGGGGTCTAACCCGTTCACGGTGACTGGTGACATCCCACCGGAAAATTCAACGAGCTTTGCTCTCGGTGAGCATCCGGCAACACCCCAGGGCCCACAACCGAGGAGCGGATCGCGGTGTATCCAGCGCTGACCTTCAAAGGCGCGGCAACGTGCGGTGCGGCCGAACTCGGGGTGGGTGAAAGGGGAGGGGCAGTCCTGTTTTGTGGGGATTGAGATCTTTTGGAACCAACTAGAAGTTGACACCTAGCTGGCCGGCTGTTTGGAAATTGAGAAATTCGTCTGGGCAAGTCAAAGCAACCTCACAAAAAAAAAAAACAAAAACGGGGGCAGACAGAGATGAAATGCGCCCCACGCCAAAACATGAACGGAAGTTCCTGTCCTCCCAGCATTTCCCAGGCTTTTCTCGGCAGTTGCAGGGTTTATCAGCTTCAGCTCAAGTCGGAATTGAGCTTGTCCCTCGCTTTTGTATAACTAAATGAGAAGCCAAGAAGCATCCCTAACCACCAACCCAGACCACCCAGTTCAAGAGGGAGCCGCTGTTTTTGCTTGGTTGCTCTGGTATTGGGGCCGCCTCCCCCTCTCGCCAGCTCCCCCAGCGCGAGGCCGCGGCGCCTTCGTGTTTCAGCAGCTCAGCTTTCCCCCGCCGATAGCGCTGGGCTTCACGCACTGGCCCAAGACGCACAAAGGCCCGGGACGGACGGCGGACGGAACGCGGAACGGGGGGCGGACGGAGGTCGGAAAGCATCGTCGGGGAATGGGAGGCCCGATGGTCAAGCGGGGTCTGTGTAGTGTTAATGTACATCCACTCTTGTACATGACCTTGGCCTTCTGTACATCTAGGCCTTGAGCCTGTCTACAAGATAGAGCCCGCAGCCCTCGCCCGCTGAGTACAACAAGTGCCGTGCTGTCACACACAGGTTTGACACATTTAGGTCATCGGGTGTTTCACAGTTAGTTCCACTTTAACATGGTAGCGGAGCAGTGATCCCTGGCACACGATCCACGACCACAACCCAGGGTGAGCTCCATCCATCACACACCCACAGGTTTAGGTACACAGTAGTGAGCAACATGAAACAACAACAGCAGAAACAGGAACAACAGCAGTTGGAAGGAATCCACAGATACAAGATATCACCACCACGGTTCACAGGAGAATACAACACCTTCGAAGAATGGAAGTACAAGATGACAGCATGCTTGGGATTACGAGACCCAGCATACAACAGACTGCTGAAGCAGTCAGAGCAATCAACAGGACAAGTTACAAACGACCAACTTGAGAATGCAGCACACAAGCAGTAGCAGAGCAATGGGTACAACTGAGCAACAATCTACACTACCTCTTGGTGAGCACATGCGATGGACCAGCATCGACAACTTGCAGGCAAAACATGCAAGGCAACGGATTTGAAACATGGCGGCTGACACATGCAAGATACTCCATACCACTTGGCACACGAAGCATTGAGTACCTAACAAGGTTACTCAAACCACAACTTGATGAACAGAAGTTCGAGGAGAGCTTGTAACATGGGAGTTTCAACTCTCCAGGTACGAACAAGACAACAACACACTACTACCAGATGCAGTCAAGATTGCAATACTGCTCAACGAGACAAAAGGACCACTACAGCAACATCTACAACTTCAAGCAGGAAACATCACAACATATGCACAGATCAGATCAATGGTCATCGAGTATTACAGAGCAACAGCATCATTCACCAGGCTACAAGCAATCACATCAGGCAGCAGCAATCAAGGACCGGCGCCGATGGACATAGGAGCAACATGGTACAACAAAGGAAAAGGAAAGAAGGGCAAGCGCAAGGGCAAAGGAAAGTACAACAAAAGCAAAGGCTACGGCAACTACGGGAACAACTACAGCCACAATAACTACAAAGGAGGAAAAAGCAAGTGCAATCAACAACCGTTTTGACAAGGAAACTCATTCAAAGGACAACATGGATATGGCAAAGGAAAAGCATACAGCAACAAAGGAAAAGGCAAAGGATACCACAACAACCAACAAGGAGGAAAAGGAGCAAAAGGAAAACAAGCAACAAATGTTTGCTACAGATGTGGACAACCAGGACACATGGCCAAACAGTGCAGAGTGGCGATCTACAACTGTGACACAGGAACCTTCGACACCAATGACCAGATGAATGGTACAACCAGGCACACTACGACGACAACTGGTACCATCAGGATCAGTCACAGATGCACCAACTGGCGCTACCAGGTCCATCAGCAGTACCCATCTCAGGATTACATGAAGTAACCATCGCCATGATTGGCACAACACAACAACCGCCAGAAGACAACAAATGGGTCAGTCTCATGATTGACAGCGGTGCGGCTACACATGTATGCCCACTATGGTTTGCATCACAATTCCCACTACAGCAACTAGCACATGGCACAGGACCAAGACTGCGAACAGTGACCAACCAGCACACCAAGCTTCACGGGAACAGATGGGTTTGCATGACAAACCACAGCGGACAACAGATTGTCATACCGTTTTACGTTTGTGAAGTTAAGCAGCCAACTCTTTCGGTTACAAGGCTGGTGGAACAAGGTTTCCAACTTACACTGGATGACAATCCAAGACTACAGCACATCAAAGGCTTCAACAGCACTTTGGAGAACAGAAATGGCCTGTTCTTCCTACAAGCAGAAATCACAACATTGACAAAAGGAACAAAGCTACAGACACACAACACAGAACAATGACAGATTGGCATGATAGCACCGACCACACAATACAGGAAGACGCTTTTCACACCATCAAGAACACAGTGTCCAGTTCCAGCAGAGCAACTAGAGGATTACAGGAAAACAACAATCAGGTCCAAGGACGGCACAACAAATACATTTGAGGACAAGTATCAATCCACAGAAGATCCAAACAAAACACAACCACAGATGTGGAAAGGAGAGACAGCCTTCAGCGTCAAGAAAGGCACCAAGTTGCCAGAAACGTTACAGCAACAGTTTACAACAAAGACACAGCCAAGGAGCGAGCCACAGAGGATCACACCACAAGTGATTCACTACAACCCACGAACGAGGCTGAGATAGAAAACAACAGGAGTCAGCAGCACCACACACCACCAAAGGTGCAGCTGGACAAGGAATTCCACATCCTTCAGAAGTACATCCTGGAGAGAAGGCCCATACTGGAAGAGAGCACATGTTGAGCCTAGAACAGCGTTTTACATACCAGCAGACACACGACGGGCCAGACATCAAGCGACTCGTACTTTGGAGACAGACCAAGGTACAACCAGTTGGAGGAGAAAGACAACGCACGAGATTGATAGAAGATGAATGGGCAACACAGCCAGCAAAGACATCAGACAAGCCTTGGACAGGCTGGACAAACTTTGAGGAACATCAGGAGTTCCCAACACAACTTGAGTCAGATGATGAGGAGCAACAACAAGGCACACAAGCAAAGGCAGTACAAGCACCCAAGCAACCAACACCACAGGATATTCTCGAGCACAACGTGACACATCTCCCTTACAGGAGTTGGTGCCCAATATGCGTACAAGCAAGAGGCAGACAGAACAATTATCCAAAGCAACACAGCAAGCTTCCAATCATACAGCTTGACTTCGGCTATATCAAAGGTTTAGATGATAGCAATGTACAACCAATTCTCACAGCAATTGACATCCAGTCAGGGATGATCATGGCACTACAACTGACAGACAAGAGAATGCTTTTTGACTATGCAGTCACGCAACTTCCTCATTGAATGTGGAAGGACAACACACACGATACTACAACCAGATCAGGAAGACTTCCTGACAGCGCTCACAACAGCAGTAGCCAACAAGAATGGCAACAGAACTACAAGGAACTCAGGAGCATACAGTTCACAATCACAAGGAGGAGTAGAGCGAGCACACAGAACACTGTTTGCACAAATCAGAACACTCAAGGCACAGATCAGACAAAACTACAACAGAGACATCTCAATGAAACATCCACTCATGCCTTGGATAGTTCGACGCGGTGCACACATCATGAACAGGTATGTGGTCCACAGCAATGGATGCACAAGCTACTTCAACAGATGGAACAGAGAGCAACATACACCACTTTGCGAGTTTGGTGAGACAGTGCAACACATGCTACCAACAGTGAAACAATTTCCAAAAACTCGAGCCGAGATTCTACAACGGGATCTGGCTTGGCAAGGATACAACCACAGGCGAATCCCTTCTCAGGATCTACAACAAGACTGTCAGAGCAAGGACAATCAGAAGGCAGATCATGCCTCACAAATACAATCAGCAACTACTGGACTGTGTACACACAGGTCCATGGAAGACACCAGCATCAGCACTGCACACACCAACTCTCGCAACACCATTGACAATGCCAGCTACAAGCAAGGCACCACCATCACAGAAAGACGCAACAACTAGCGCAGCAGCAGAAGGCAAGCAACAGAAGCAGGCGATCAGCCAACAAAGCAGAAAAGAACAACAGAGCCAACACCACCAATGGCTACATCACCAACACACCAGAAGCGACCAGCACTGCCAGCACCACCGCCTACATCACCCACAAGAGAAAGAGATGACACCATAGCAGAAGGCAGTACAGGAAAGCAACAGCGCACCACAGCAGAAAGACAAGCACTTGAGCGACCTGCAACATCAGAACAACCAAAGAACAAAATGAGGACAAATGCCATCGAGTTCACAACAAAGGATGGCAAACAAATGCAAACAACATCCAATGAAGATGCAGAAGAAATCAACAATGAAAGGATCCTACTAGAGCCAATCATACATGACACAGAAGGCTTGGATCCACAACAGGTAGCACCAGGAACGAAGAAGGAAGTACAACAAATGAAAGATCAATCAGTCTTTACAGAGATGGATGGCAACACACTGACACCAGAACAACAAGCAAACATTATCGAGTCTAGATGGGTTCTCAAGCAGAAACACAACGAAGTGCGAGCACGCATAGTAGCAAAGGGCTACACAGAACCCGTTACAGACCACGATCTCTTGTTTGCAAGTACACCGTTGTTTTGCACACTGAGGATACTCAGTGTTCCATTTCTACATGCAGAAGCAATCTCCTACAACCTGGTAATGCGACCACCACATGAGTTCTACAATGATGAAAACAGACACATAATGTGGCGGCTGAACAAAGCCATTTATGGCCTAAGACCACCACCAAAACAATGGCGAGACCACATAGCACACATCCTCACAGTCACACTTGGGCTTGTGAGATGTACAACAGAAAGCAATGTTTACAGATCAAAAGACTGTCAGGTCTACATCATGATCTATGTAGATGATCTCCTCTTCATAGGAGTACAGAGCATCATCAACACGCTCTTCAGCAGGATGCAAAAGGAAGTCCTGCTGAGGCACACAGGCGATCTAGCAGTTGGATCAACAATACATTTGCTTGGCAGGAACATTTCACACAAAGGCGACCACATTGACATCAGCTTGAACAACAACTATGTTGACATCATCCTGGAAGATTCAGGAATGACTACATGCAACCCAGCACCATCACCAGGAGTACCACACATGAAAGGTACAGCAGAAGATGAAGCACCACTAGATCAAGAACAACACAAGAAATTCAGGCGGCTCTTTGGCAAAATACAACGGTTAGCATACACACG